TGGATGAAAAAACGATTCTTCGCGGCAGGGGATCGTATTCCAGGGACCATAGGATTAAGGACTTGCCCGAAACGCTACGCGTACTAGTGGCTGTACAAGAATGTAACAACTCTTGTATATATCTCAAAAAAAAAAAAAAAAAAAAAAAAAAAAAAAAAAAAAAAAAAATGTCGTACCTAGTAGCCAGAACTCACTTCTCAGCCTACTATTCAAGGCCCGATTTGCCTAATAAGCCAAGTTTTCCTGAATTAATATATTTACTATAATTTTTTTCTTATGAAATGATAAAGCAACCCTTTTCTCTATGTATGAGGTCAATTTTTTGTTATTGGAGTTAAAATTAACGTAGATATATGACCGAACCTAACCAACCCTACCTAACCTAACCTAACCTATATTTATAGGTAAGGTTAGGTTAGGTAGCCAAAAAAAGCTAGGTTAGGTTAGGTTAGGTAGGTTAGGTAGACGAAAAAACATTAATTCATGAAAACTTGGGTTATTAGGCAAATCGGGCCTTGAATTTATATATTTATATATATATATATATAAATATATATATATATATGTCGTACCTAATAGCCAGAACGCACTTCTCAGCCTACTATTCAAGGCCCGATTTGCCTAATAAGCCAAGTTTTCATGAATTAATGTTTTTTCTTCTACCTAACCTACCTAACCTAACCTAACCTAGCTTTTTTTGGCTACCTAACCTAACCTTACCTATAAATATAGGTTAGGTTAGGTTAGGTAGGGTTGGTTAGGTTCGGTCATATATCTACGTTAATTTTAACTCCAATAAAAAAAAATTGACCTCATACATAGAGAAAAGGGTTGCTTTATCATTTCATAAGAAAAAAATTTTAGTAAATATATTAATTCAGGAAAACTTGGCTTATTAGGCAAATCGGGCCTTGAATAGTAGGCTGAGAAGTGAGTTCTGGCTACTAGGTACGACATATATATATATATATATATATATATATATATATATATATATATGTCGTACCTAATAGCCAGAACGCACTTCTCAGCCTACTATTCAAGGCCCGATTTGCCTAATAAGCCAAGTTTTCATGAATTAATGTTTTTTCGTCTACCTAACCTACCTAACCTAACCTAATCTAGCTTTTTTTGGCTACCTAACCTAACCTTACCTATAAATATAGGTTAGGTTAGGTTAGGTAGGGTTGGTTAGGTTCGGTCATATATCTACGTTAATTTTAACTCCAATAAAAAAAGTTGACCTCATACATAGAGAAAAGGGTTGCTTTATCATTTCATAAGAAAAAAATTATAGTAAATATATTAATTCAGGAAAACTTGGCTTATTAGGCAAATCGGGCCTTGAATATTGGGCTGAGAAGTGAGTTCTGGCTACTAGGTACGACATATATATATATATATATATATATATATATATATATATATATATATATATATATATATATATATATATATATATATATATATATATATATATATGCGAACAAGCCTGAATGGTCCCCAGGACAATATGCAACTGAAAACTCACACCCCAGAAGTGACTCGAACCCATACTCCCAGGAGCCACGCAACTGGTATGTACAAGACGCCTTAATCCACTTGACCATCACGACCGGACATAATGAGGTGATAGCCGAGGTTATATATATATATATATATATATAGTATAGTGCCTTTGCAATAATGTACCAATGTGTGTATTTGTTGTATTGTATTGTTGAAATACATTGTTCACATGAAATACATGTGAAATATTGTTGAAAACATCTTGAAGACTTATTAAACCAAAATTATTTATTAGTCAGAAGAAAGACAAAAATGCGAACTATATGTTAAACCTCTACCAGACAAATATTTTAAGTAAAACCGAAAATATTTGAAGTCTTATAAAAGGGGCAGTTTTCATTGCTCGTCGAGCTCGAAAACCGCAGCATTCATCTCAAAACCATGCCTATTTAGTAGTGAAATATACGACTTCGACCGCGCGCACCACCTGCCAGGTGGCACTCAGGTGAGTGCCACCCGACAGGTGGCGCGCAGGGGTGTAGTCGCAAGGGTTTTGGGGGGATTTTCCCGGAAGTTTGGCGCGTTTCGGACGCGTGTGAGCGTCCTTTGTTAGGGTATGTGGTCAGGAAAGAGAGTAAGTTATGTTGTTGGATGCCAGGTGGTGCGCGTCGTCGTCGTCGTCGTCACAGAGGGTTTGGGAGGGGAATTTCCCGGAAGTTTGGCGCGCGTCGGACGCGGTCTTGAGTGGTTCTAGTTATGAAAGAGAGAAACCATGTTGTTGGGGCAGTAAGAAATGCATGGAAAAGACACGTGAGTAGCCACTGACAGGTGGCGCGCGTCACTCTAGTCGCAAGGGCATTGGGGGAATTTCCCGGAAGTTTGGCGCATGACGGAGGTAATTGGAGCGCGCGCGCGGATCTAGTCCTCAAGGGATAGGGTATGTGTTCAGGAAAGATGGGAGTACTTGTTGTGTGAGAGTAAGTGGTAGAGTAAGAAAATAGAAGGATAAGAGGAGGGAGTAAATGAATATGTATGTGTGTTTTGCGTAGCCTTAATCCTGTGTGCGGATAATAATTTTGTTGATCGTGAGATTGTGTGTAGATGCGAGGAGAGGCAACACAGTCTGTTATGTTGTTGTTTTGGGTGTGGGAGGGGTATGGGATGGATGGAGGGAAAGGTGAGTGGGAGCTTCCCCTCGTCGGCGAGAGACTGCTCTGGGCCATTATGTGGTTAGACAAACCCATTAACTCCCCTACAGGAAGCCCTTAAGTGGGGTTGTAAGAAATGCATGGAAAAGACACGCGAGTGACACCTGGCTTTTTTTTTTTCTGTGTGTTCGGGTCATGAAAGAGTGAAGCCAGCCTCGTTGTGAGACTGCAGTGGGACATTATGCGGTTAGACAAACCATTTAACTCCCCTACAGGAAGTGCTAAGTGTGCGAGGATGGGAGAGAAGACTCCGGCAGGAGGACTGTGTACCATTACCCTTAAGCGTTTTTCAATGTCCGCGGAGGGGTATGCGTACGGGTCACAGACTAGAGCCCGACTGAACGACTTTACAAGTAGCTTGGTTATTTCTCCTCAGACACGATGGCGGAAGTGGTGGGGCATCCATTACCAATGCGTTTCGCCAGGGTCCGCGACTCTCTCTCTCTCTGTGTCTCTCTGTCTCTCTCTGTCTCTCTCTCTCTATGTCTCTCTGTCTCTCTCTCTCTCTCTCTCTCTCTCTCTCTGTCTTTGTCTCTCTGTCTCTCTCTCTCTCTGTCTCTCTGTCTCTTTGTCTCTCTCTGTCTCTCTCTCTCTCTCTCTCTCTCTCCCGCTCTATAGTCCACCACACATCTCTTCACTTAGTAAACTCAGTCAAAGTCCGGAGGTTGGCGTTTACTAAAAGAGAGAAACATTTCACATCATCACGGAGACGCGATCTCCGCCAGCAGGGGTCCTCACCGGCAGACCCGCACCTGCCAACCAGCAACCACTCCCACCCCTCATCCCCACCCGCACCCATACCATCAACCATTGTTCCGTGCAATCCCCATTAGTATTATTTCTGTTAATATGTGTAAGCTATATCGTAACGTGACCAACATGGTGAGAGCAATAAACGAGGGAAAAGTAGACACATTATATAAATTTATTTCTTTATTAAACACTTAAGCGATTCTCTATGTCTCTCTGTCTCTCCGTCTCTCTCGCTCTGTCTCTCTCCCTCTCTCTCTCTCTCTCTCTGTCTCTCTCCTCTCTCTCTCTCTCTCTCTCTCGCTCTGTCTCTCCCTCTCTAAAGCCCACTACACGTCACTTCACTTAGTAACTCAGTCAAAGTCCGGAGGTTAGCATTTTACTAAAACCTGAATGAATGTGCCAGCCATACCCTCCCCCACAGTCCTTAGCGTTTTACTAAAACCTGAATGAATGTGCCAGCCATACCCTCCCCCACAGTCCACCCCCACAAACCCTTACCCATACCTCCCCCTCCATGGCCGAACCATCACTGCCCCTTCCCAGACCGGATGTTCTGTTCTAAGCCTTAGTATCATCATAAGCATAATATGGAAAACACAATCTTGCTACTATTATTAAATTGTCTTGTTCATTATCCCGAGTTCATCTCTCTCTCTCTCTCTCTCTCTCTCTCTCTCTCTCTCTCTCTCTCTCTCTCTCTCTCTCTCTCTCTCTCTCTCTCTCTCTCTCTCTCTCTCTCTCTCTCTCTCTCTCTCTCTCTCTCTCTCTCTCTCTCTCTCTCTCTCTTACATTATCCAATGTAAACAGTCCGGATGAGCTCTGGGTTAAGTCTGTTTTCAGTTCTTATAACATTTGAAAATGCAAGCGTGGTTACTCATTACGTCTCGTCACATCTCGTTAGGGACAGACCTTGTGTCTTTCCATAGCGCGAGTTTTCACTCATCAGCAACCGTTAGTAATCGTTCGATCCAACAGAAAAAACAGAGACTCGTGTTAACATAATAGGTGAAAAAAGTTATTCTTTCTCTTATCACGTTATATTCAATGACTGGTATACACTTACATATTTATCTTGGTAAAAAACAAAACATAATAACTGTCAGACAGACAGACAGACATAGGTGAAAAAAGTCAATCTTTCTCTTATCACGTTTTATTCAATGACTGGTAGACACTTACATATTTATCTTGGTAAAAAACAAAACATAATAACTGTCAGACAGACAGACAGACATAGGTGAAAAAGTTAATCTTTCTCTTATCACGTTTTATTCAATGACTGGTAGACACTTACATATTTATCTTGGTAAAACAAAAACATAATAACTCTCAGACAGACAGACAGACAGACATAGGTGAAAAAGTTAATCTTTCTCTTATTATGTTTATTCAATGACTGGTAGACACTTACATATTTATCTTGGTAAAACAAAACATAATAACTATCAGACAGACAGACAGACAGAGACATATCACTCACCCTAATGCAGTTATCAGCGGAGTTTCAAAAAGTTTTTGCTAGCTTTAGGCTTAGATTTTAGATTTTTGCTGTTTTTTTTTTTCTATAGTTAGACGAACATCCTTTCGTTTAATCTGTCGTTTGGGTGGGGGAGGTGCGATTATTTCACGCTCAACCTCACTATCACACTCGCTATCACTGGTGGTGTCAATATAGCGGGATCTATTAAGATCGTCTCCAACTCGGATCCTTCGTAGAGGGGTAAAGTTTTCATCATCACTACTTATTAACACAGTCTGAGACATAGTATTACACTCATCGCGAGCTCTAGCCCGAGATGTGGCTTTGTGTGAACTTAGTTTAGAGTTGTGGGATGTGGAGGAGGAGGGACGAGAGCTGGGTTCGGGGTCAAGGTTTGTAGACACACCTTGGAGTGAGCTAAGGTGGGGGTTGAGGAAAAGATTCACATCAACGTCAGTCAGCAATCCACGTTGCTGACTGTCTGTAAGCATTATATGCTCACCCAGTAAAGCTTCTACATTCAAATCATTTTCGGTTTGAGTAGCGGGGTTGTCCTCTGAGAGAGAAATAGCGGCAAACACCGCATCATCAAAACCTCCGCTCATAGTCAAGAGATCTGGATACTCACCACTCTGTGAAATATCCTCACTCATTCTCACTACTTCTTCTTCTTCAGTCCTACTATCCCTAGTAGTACTACTAGTAGTAGGGTCACTACTTACTCTACACGCCCCAGTTAAAAGGCTGGGGGACAACACCTCTTCAACGGTGTTCATAAAATATAAAGCGTCACCACCCCTCTGATCGGCAGTAGGACTGGTGTTACTAGTACTTCTATCACCACAATCTCCACCAACCGGGGCAGTAGTGGGGTGTGTAGGGAGACACACTCGCGCGGGGCGTGTGGCGACACCTGTCGCGACCTGATCGCTACGGTTGGCATCACCGGTGTGTGAGGGGAGGTTGTCACCGTAGTCGACTGGAGTAGGGGGAGAGGACACAGACACTTCCCCCGTGTTCGTGTGTATGTGGGTGGTTCCCAAGAATATAAAGATGTTGCCTCCAGAGGTGGATCTGGCGGGACCACTGCTGCCGCTGCTGCTGCTGCTGCTGCTGCTGCTGCCACTGCCGCTGCTGCTCACACAACCGCGGGCTTTCTCCAGATAATCTAAAAAAAAGTTTACATTACTAGCATAACACACACACACACACACACACACACACACACACACACACACACACACACACACACACACACACACACACACACACACCACACACACACACACACACACACACACACCACACACACACACACACACACACACACACACAACACACACACACACACACACACACACACCACACACACACACACACACACACACACACACACACCACACACACACACACACACACACACACACACACACACACCCACACCACACACACACACACACACACACACACACACACACACACACACACACCACACACACACACACACACACACACACACACCACACACACACACACACACACACACACACACACACACCACACACACACACACCACACACACACACACACACACACACACACACACACACACACCACACACACACACACACACACACACACACACACCACACACACACACACACACACACACACACACACACACACACACACACACACACACACCACACACACCACACACACACACACACACACACACACACACACACACACACACACACACACACACAACACACACACACACACACACACACACACACACACACACACACACACACACACACACACACACACACACACACACACACACACACACACACACACACACACACACACACCACACACACACACACACACACACACACACACACACACAACACACACACACACACACACACACACACACACACACACACACACACACACACACACACACACCACACACACACACACACCAAAGCCAGCACACCAAAGACCCAACAAGAATGAGAGGAGAAGATGAACCAGCAATGCTTGATTTGATATTTACCCTAAATGAATGGGATATAAGGGAAGTTAAGATGGAAGCGCCCTTGGGAATGAGTGACCACAGTTGTATTGAACTTTGAGTACCTGGTAGAGCTAGGACTTATCTCCCCCAAAAAGAACTAGGAACCAAAAGGTTGGCATACCGAAAAGGGGAATTATGAACAGATGAGAAGTTTCCTAAGTGAAATACCTTGGGACACAGACCTCAGAGACAAGTCTGTACAGGGTATGATGGACTATGTTACCCAAAAGTGTCAGGAGGCAGTAAACAGGTTCATCCCGGCCCAAAGGGAAAAATCCGAGAAGCAACAGAAGAATCCATGGTATAATAGGACATGTATGGAAGCGAAGAAACTGAACAAAATGGCGTGGAGGAACTTCCGGAATAACAGAACACCAGAAAGCAGAGAGAGAGAGAACC